TAGATAGATAGATAGATAGATAGATAGATAGATAGATAGATAGATAGATAGATAGATAGATAAACATGTTTGTATATATGTGTCTATTTCTGCGTATACACTCTATCTCTCTCTCTCTATCTATCTATCTATCTATCTATCTATCTATCTATCTATCTATCTATCTATCTATCTATCTCGTGCGCACGCACTCGCATGTGTGTGTGTGTGTGTTTGTGTGTGTGTTTGTTTGTGTGAGAGAGTATGTGTGTGTTTGTGTGTGTGTGTTTGTGTGTGTTTGTGTGTGTGAGAGAGTATGTGTGTGTTTGTGTTTGTGTGTGTGTATGTTTGTAAGTAAACAGCGTAATGTGTACATGTTGACTACGGAAACTGGAAACCCAATTCCATCCAATTCTTCCCTCAAACAAACTAGATTCCGCAGCCTGATGGACGCAGCCTCCAGTGGTGCCAGTAACGCCCTCACATTGGTAGCCTCCATCATCGCCAACGTCACAGCAGTGGTCAGCGTGGTCAAAATGATCAACAGTGGCCTCGGTTGGCTGGGCAGCCTGGTCGATGTTGCAGGGCTCTCTTTACAGGTTACACGCCACTAGTACTAGTACCGTAAACTGGGATGCCTTAGTCACCCCGGATAACTGGGACAATGTGAATACGCCCCAAATTGATTAGCATACTCTTTTGGGTAAGGCATTGAAAAAATACTCAAAATCACTTTTGATATTGAAAAAAATATTCTCCAAATCATCATAACATTTTCACAGATGTAATTCCTTAGTCACCCCGATTTACCGTAGTTTATTCCTTGATTTTCGTATCAATGTATCAATGTTATGGCGACAATGTGTTGTCCTGTGCAACCGAAGAAAAAAACCCCCAAAAAAACCCCTAAAACTTTTACTTCACAGAAAATGGTTGAAGGATGGAGGGTTACACCGGTACGTTCCACTTCATTTCCTTTTCTCTAGTGTTTATGTCTGGCTGTATTGCTTTTTCTGCACTAAATAATCTTTAGTGTGTGGATGCGCTGCTTTTTGTTCAAACTATAAAACGAACGAACAATTAGCAGAAAATTTAGGCTTTCTCTGTAAGTATTGGCGTTTGTTTACAAAATAAGGTTTTGGTACCTAAAAAGTGGACGGAAGTTAAAAATTCCCCAATTAATACCCACGAAAGGGTCTGTTTATTTGAAAACCGGCTGCATGAAAAATGATGCGATTTGCGAATGCGAGGTCTTCGTAAACACGTATTCCTTGAACGGGGCACGAAGCCACAACAATATGTGCTACCACATGGTGAGCAGCACTGAGATCCTTCTAAACTTGTACTAAGTTTTAGATTTAACTCATCCGAAAGAACCTTTTTTTTTCTTTGTTTCAGCAATCTCTACAAGCGAAGTGGTAGCGCTGAAAGTGACATTGGTTAGGGTTCATTTTCCGTTGCCGGTATTTCTCAGAAAGAACGACAAAGACTTGCAAAAGCCTTTGCTTCTTGTTTTTATTCCAGATATGAACGACCTCTTGACACGAATGCGATTAGTGATAAAAGAAGTGAATTTGGGTTTTGAAAAAAAGAAGAAATAAGACAAAGAAGAGACACCAAAGTAACCACCAAACGCTTACATTTGAGCACAGGCGTTTATGGGTGTTCTTCAAGAACAAAGTTGGGTTTTGATGTTTTCGTTTTTTTAGACCAGACTCTCGATGTTCAGGTCCGTTCAAAAAGTTGAATGGAAGACATGGTAAAAACCATTCGGAGAAAAGATCCCACCCTTACACCACAGAGGTTGTGACTTATGAATGGCACCCCAGCAGCTGGGAAGCTCCGTCTCCTGTGGCCTGATAGCAAACTGTTTAGATTCCCTCGCGCAATCGGAGTATCACATTAAATGAATATATCGGGGTGATAAGCGTTATGAGTTAAAGTTAGATTTTCATTCAGATTTCGCTTTCTCAAAGAAGAACAACTGTACTTTATTAAACAACCAATTATCTCAAGAACTCCTGTTCTGTGTGGGCATCCGCAGTAGATTCCCTGACATTTAAGGTACAGCGGCCATCTTATTGTCATATCATTGAGACAACGACTTTTCCTTTCGAAAAATCATTGGCATCGATTTGAAGCAGTAACCGTAAAATCTTCAGAGCTAGATTCCCTTATTTGTTTTATTATGTACGGGAAGTTCATTCTTCTATATCTACAAACCTTAGTCAATGTATTTTTAAAAATTAAAGCTAGAGCTTGTATGAAAACCACCTGGGTCCAACACTTGACTTGTGAAGAGAACCAATTCGTTTCTAAAGCTGCCGTTGTACTGAAAAGCTTTAGGGGCCTAACTATTGCCAACGGGGAAGGCAAAGAGAAACATTTTTTTTTTTTTTTTTTTTTTTTTTTTGGGGGGGTACCTTAGTGATGTGTACGGATGTTTCAACTAGTTTCTTTCTTGGCAAAACTGGGTGTGCTACTGCTAGCATTGAAGACATTCAAGTATTGAACCGTTCTTTTAATGGCTATTGTGCCAATCGTTATTTCATCGACGCCGATACTGCCAGTCGTTGTCATGTAGCAATTACATTTCAGATGATCTGCTCCTACCTGTTGTACCCTCTGGCTTTGTCTCTGGGAGTCGACCCAGCGGACGGCAAAAAAGTGGCGGAACTCATAGGTGTCAAGATGTTCCTGAATGAGGTCCTAGCATTCGCAAGCCTTGGTCAGTACCGGAAGAATCGAATGACTTTCGACAGTTACGTCAGTGAGAACTTCACGGACTGGCGTGACGTGGAGGGCACCGGTGGGGTATACGGTCACAGCGACATTGTCCTCCCGGCCTGGAATGTGACATTATCTGGCGGCTTTGTGTCTGTGAGTACCCGATTCTGTCGGAACCAAAATAATGAAGATATAGCTGGGACGTGGACTAAATTATCACTACTACTATGTAGTCGTATCTTGTTCTTCTATCAAATTGGGCAAAACTAGGATATCTTAGTTTGGGGCATAAACTCGTAGAGTCTAGCTTTGTGCAATCTTCTTATGCTAGACACTCATATCATATTATAATTATTATAAAACTGGTCTTCATCCTACCTTCAAACTGCGAGGAAAGAAGGAGCTCGAACAAGTAAGTACCGGGTACCAGTTTATCAGTATGACTCAACGGAATTGCACGGACTACTTTATGAAACTATAATGTTTGCTATTCTCGTTTTTATGTATGTGTTTTACCCCTCTATCAACACAATTTAAATCATTTACGAGACAAGCTTCGACTTTGCTTGTGAGGGCCAACTCGGGCTGAAAGGATCCAACGTCCTAGCAGCACACGGTAATTGAACTCAGGTCTTTTGCGTGCGACGGTGAAGTTACATCGAAATCGTGATCCTTTCTCATTTCTTACATATCATATTTTGTCATTTGACAAAAAGATGCTGACGATTCGTGTGCATATGGTAATGTAACATGTGCTGATAAGACGTCCATTATAGAATGGCAAAGGGTTAATGTACTTTACTGTAGAATTGTTAAAAATGAGCTTTCGATCTTTATCTCAAAAGCGTTCCACACGTACTAAATATTAAAGAGAGCAAAAGACGGAAAGGGGGAGGAGAAAAAACAACAAGACAAAACAATTTAAATTTTAACCATCTGACTGTTTCTTCATAATTCGATACAGCACCATTTAAAACTTGATGTTTATGTCAATAGCAATATATTTCGTTGGGGGTTTGTTTATTTCATTATTATTTCTATCAACATTTTTGGGGGAGAGGGCATAGGCTTTGGAATTTGATTTTAATCTTGGATCAATGTACTCTGTCTTATTCAGGAGCGATCTGAGGTGATCACAACCTACGCCCTGTGCGGTTTTGCAAATTTCATCTGCGTGGGTATTCTAATCGGTTGCTATGTGACGTTCATGCCAAGCCGGAAGGGAGTCATTTTTAAATACATCCTGCGTTCTATGATTGTGGGTAACTGCGCAAGTTTTGTCACTGCTTGCTTTGCTGGTGAGTAAAACATGGTGCACTACAAGAGCAAAATAATTCACTCTGTTTTTGTTTTTTGACAAGCAACAAAAAAGACAACAAAAAACAACAATGTTCTCTGAATTTTACAAGCTTATTAAGTTTGATAATATCTCCACCGGCACTGCTGAAAACGTTTTGCTTCGTTTCTCCTTCCCAACTTCTCTAGTAACAATCTTACCTTATCATATTATTTGTAAACACACAGAAGACACATCACTCACTAAAAATGGTATCGATCCAATCGCATTATATTAAAAATGTCATCATCGGCACTTAACGACATTTTTTTTATTTGTTTGTTTTGTTTTGTTTGGGGGGGGGGGGGTTAGTATCCGAAAATAGCATGAAATGGGTGTCAGAGTATCTAAGGTCTGTGCCCATTTTTTATAATATTTCTCCTTGGATAATTCAATTGCTCACAAATTACAAGCGAAGATGTTGTCTGTTATTTCGTGTTACCTGTTGCTGAGTTGTTTAATTGTACTTTTAAATTAGGTTAATCTGTCCAGAGGTGCTAGTAGGCCTATCAGTTTGCATAACTACGTCAGCATCTTGCTCCATCCTCAAATATTGATTCCTTCCATTTAGTTATAACAATCATCATCATCATCATCATCATCATCATCATCATCATCATCATCATCATCATCATCATCATCATCATCATCATAATCATAAT